TTTTTTTTTTTGCAGAGCATCTTCCGAGGATTAATTCCTGTTCCCCTCCCCCTTCTCTGGATATTCTCGAAGCTCAACTGCTATCGCTTAATTTTGAATAGAAAAAGTGCTGTAATTTTCAGAAACAAAGCTTACTTTTGGTGTGCACTCTTTGCTTGTGTTTGATTAAATGGGCAAAGCTGTCAAAGCTTTCACCGCACTCCTCACACTTGCGTGTATCACTTTTCGGCGTATGTTGTAGGTAATGGCGTGCGAGCAGAATTGTGCCTTTTTCGAGAATACCGCAACCGGGCCAGTTGCATCGGTATTCACCTTCCTTGTTATGGCTGCCAAGATGTATTTTGAAAACGGCGTAGGCAGCAAATAGCTTGCCACATCTTCCGCAGGAGAACCGTTTAGTTGATTTCGTATTACTGCTTGCGGAGGGCTGCGCAGTGCGAATTGGATCGCCCGACGCAAATGTGGTCAACCCAGTTCGAACCGAGGTTTGGTTAGGAATTGGCTGAGAAGTGGTTAGTTTTATGATTGGTTCTTTGGGACTGGTCGGTTGTTTGGTTATAAAATGTAGTGGCACGTCATACTCGGTTTACGAGTTGGTACACGATTCACGACAGGCGGAGTCGAATTATTGCAGATCAAAGCACGAAGTTTTGATTTCTTTTTTAGTTGTCTGATGACGGTGTATTTGTCTAGTGCATTTGTGACAGGATTAGAGGCAGCAGAACTTCTCATAATAACAAGATTTGATGCTGTCGCACCTTTGGTAGAGCCTTGCGATATGCGTGGATCTATTGAAAAAGATAAATTCGGTCCATGTTCTAGATCGATGGGTCTTGACATGGAAAATACACCTGATCCACTGGCAGAGCCGTGCAGGCAAGTTGCATACGGCCCGAGTTTATCAGTGGTGGGACTTTGCAAAAGTGTTGAAATTGATTTGCTGTCAATCTCAGTGGAAGGAATCGAAGAAAAATCTTCCGATTTATAATGGGTTCTGGATAAATCCACTGGGCCTGAAGGAATTTGTGCTGTAACGTAGGCAAAAAAAGAGTTGCTGTGCAGCGCTGTCGTGCTATTGGAAGTGATGGGCTTCTGCTGGATGTGCTCCAACTGCTCCAAATCTGCAGCTGATTGCAGTCCACTGAATTGAGCATTTTTCGAAATCAAAGCTATAAGTGTGTTGCTGTCGAGTCCCGAGTTCCACAATTCTGATTGATTAGTGTGAACATCTGAGTCCACAAATGGCATCATTGTTGCAATTGCAGCGTGGGCAGCATCTGGTTCGGCTGCGCGTAGCGTGGCTTCAAAATTCTTGATACCTCGTTCGGCGGTTAAGTTCTCATTTGGGATTGAACTTTGATGATCTTCAATCGACCAGAACTTTGTTTTCAGCCATTCTTTGATGTTCGATTCCAGCCGGTTATAATAAAACGCACCTTTGATATCAGAAAGATCAGTTTCGACGTTTTCGACGAATCTTGCATCTGGCTCAACTGCAGCCGAATTTCTGGAAGACGCGTCTGGAAGAGATAAATAGCTGGTCGTTCCCGTGAAAGTAACTGGAATGGTTTCGGCGACCGGCTGATATGGCGCATCACTACTAAGAGATGAGTGGTTGCCGGGTGCAGCTAAACACAGGGGGATGAAGCATATGAAAAGCTTGCAGGCAGCGGCAAGCGACATTTGGCCGCGTTTGCTGTCACAAACTGCCGTTGGTATATTGGTAGTCGCACGAATCTGTCGCTGCTGTTAATCTTTCATAAATTATGCATGAACTCCTATATTTTACACTCCAGCTTAACTACACTGAAGTGCAGTTAAGCCTTTGGTTTCACTTGAAGAA